GAAAAGTACTAAATCGTACTAAATTTAGTACAATTTCGATTTGGCTGAACCGATAGAGTTAGAATTTTGAAATTTAGAAATAAGATTACGATTACATTCTAGGGCTGATGAATGTAGGCAGTATTGCAGATTCGTACTGATGTGTACTAAATTTGGTACAATTTAAATTTTTGGGAGAACCAATAGAGTTGGAACCCTGATACCAATAGAGCTGATATCCTGAAAATTGAAATGAAGATTACTGTCGGAGTGTAGAATAGGAATACGCAGGTAGTTTTGGAAATTTGTACTTGTATGTACTAAATTGTACTAAATTTGGTACAATTTAAGTGTTGAGTGACCCCTAGAGTTAGAACCCAAATATTGTGAAATAAGATTTAAAATGAAAATTAAATTTTGAAATTTTGTATTATGGTCCCTGTTGGTAGTAGGTCTTTGCATAAAGATGTGATTTTGGAAATCTGTACTACAAGTGCCCATAAAGTACTAAATAGTGTAATATTGCGTACAATTTGGTATTGGGTGAACATATAGGGCGTGAAACTGTAATTTGATATTGGGGTAGCTTTTCATGGGTAGACTGGTCATGTGGAGTTTGGTCCGGAAGTGTGTACTTTAATTGTACAAAAGTACTGAATGGTACTGTATTTGGTATTGGGTCAAGAGATAGACGCACAATTCTGAAGTTTTATTAGCTTACTGATGGTATCTGAGTTTGCGACTTAGAGGTGGTCTGGAAGTGTGTCCTATATGTGTACGAAAGGTACTTAATTTGGTATTGGGTGAAAAGATAGGGCTTGAAACCCGAAATTTGATATTGAGGTCTTTGTTGCAATATGGAATTTAGATATGTACCATAATTGTTCGAAAAGTACTAAATTGGGTGTAGAATAGAGGTGGAATCCCAAAATTTGGTACTGAGGTCTAAGTACTTTAATTGTTCAAAAGGACTAAGTTTTACGAAATTTGGTATTGGGTAAAGGGAAAGGAATATAATTCTGAAATTTGAAATTTAGAGTTGGCGGTGATTTGGCAATGTGTCCTGTAATTGTACGAAAAGTACTGAATGGTACTATATTTGGTATTAGGAGAAGGGATAAAGTAACATATCTGAAATTTGATATTGAGGTCACACCTGGTCTCATAAATGCAATTTTAATATTTTTTTAAATCCACCCTAATATACACAAATATTTTTATTCTTTATTTTTACAAAATATGTCCAAGTTCTTAATAAAGTACAATAAAATATTTTATAACTCTTTTGCTGTTTGTTGGCTGCTTGGCTGGCTGACAGACTGAATGCTATATTTGAGTGTGTGTTTGTGTTGTTGTTTCTGTTGTGGCTGTTCATTATTGCTTAATGGACACTTGAACATGCCTCTCAAGGTACCAGAAATGAAACTAACGTAACATTAAATACAACAACACAAAAACAATAAAGCAAACGCAATAAAGGATATGTGAATGGGCACACACAAACACACACACATAACCGCAAGCATTATGGGTTCTCTTATTCTGTTTTTCTCTCTCAGAGTGTGGGTTTGTGTGTCCGTAAGTGCCACGCCTTCAAAGACTCTTGACAAAATGTGCAAAAATTGTTCAAAAAAAAATAAAATAAAATAAAATATTTGGTATTTAGTTGTTGTATCCACTTTCCACTTGAGAATCCCTCTTCGTCTTCTTTATTTCCCATTATTTTTGAGGGGATTTCAAAAAACATTTGTTCAAAATGCAAATCCGCCAAACAATAAAAAACATTAACACAAATCATCATTTGGCATTATGAGTTTGGTATTTTTGTTGAAGTTTTGTTTTGAATGACGCGTGCCTCACTTTTGCCCTCTTCAGAGTTGCTAGCCACTTTTGAAGAGGTTCTCTTGCATTTGCACTCAGGCCAAGTTCTCCGGCCCATTTTGTAATGCATTTCCACACACCTACACCGCGTTTCAAGTGTTTGCTGCCATTCGTACCAGATGGACATTTGTTACAAATTGAATTTTCGTTACAAAAGAAGAACGGGATATTTGTTTTTGTTGAGGTAAAAACACTCACTTTATTTGAAATGAAAAAGAGTAAAGTTTCGGAAACGAAGGCGGATGTTTCGAACAATGGAGGTTTTAGTGAAAGCTCTTCAAGAGAGAGCATATATAAATAAGTTTTATATTTATTTTATAGTGAAGTGCATTAGTTTGGACTAAAAGCTTCCCATTTTGATAGGAACAATATATTTGCAAAAAATAAAAAATAATTATTATTAGAAATAAAATATTTTATATGATTTTTAAGACTTTTTCAAGGATCAATGGACTAATAATCTTTTATTTTGTCAAGGATATAGACGAAAGCCCGTGGATTTTTCGTAAAGCCCATAAAAAACTTGTTGGCTTTATAACTAAGTGCAGCGGGATTAACTAACAAAAAATTTTAAATTAAAAAAAAAAATAAGGACCTATTATCCTTGGGTTTTTAGAATATTTTTCAATACCCACGGTATGAATTTTGTTAGAACCAAAATATCAATAATCATAGATTCTGCTCTTTTTGGGGACCAATAATCGTGAATATTAAAGGATATCAAGAATGAATAATTTGAGGACTATTATAATTGAATTTTTCAAGGATCAAAAGAGATTAAGGATATTTTTTCAAGAATGTTTTTGCAAACGACAACCAACAGAATATTCTTTAAAAAAATTCCAAGGACTTTACCAACATAGATTTTTTTGAGAATATTTTCCAAGAACTTAACAAAGTGGATTTTTTTGTAGACCAGATTCTTCTGAACTGATTTTTTTTTTTTTTTTTTTGAAATATTTTCGAAGACATCCCGTTGTGGATCTTTTTTCAGAGAATTTTTAAGGCATCAACAACCGTAGATTCGTTGGCAAAATTTTCAAGACTTAACAACGGATTTTTAAATGTTTTTCCGAAAATTGTAGGTCAATTTTAAGAATATTTATTCAAGGACCAATAGGGCAACAATAGAGTTTCTTTAATTTTAAGATAATTTTTTGAATTTTATTATAGAACAGTATTGAATGTTTTTCCCAGAGGATTTTTATGATTAGGAACCGCAACACCAACATACGTCAACATTTAAGAAATATATTAATTAAGGATTTCTTAAAAAATGTCAAAGACCAAAAAATCTGGAATTTAAAAAATGACGGAACCAAGGACCAGCAGAGCAACAGATGTGCTATTTGTTATAAAAACAAGTAAAAAAGCTGTAAGTTCGTCTTGGCCGAACTTTGAATGCCCTCCAGAATTCGGAACGAATTTGGCAATTTTCAAAAAAATAAAATCCGTTAAGAATTCTGTTAAAATCTTAAAAATTCCGAATATAGCCATTATATTACTGTCTAAACGACGACGTGCGACCTGCGTATGCAACTTTTGTCATAAGCCATTACAATATTCAAATGCGAAACTTTAATAATGTAGCTAAAATCATCAAAGAACCGTATATGCATAGCTAATTTTCTGTCATAGGCTGAAATATAAATTACAAACTTCAAATACCAAATTTGAAACAATTCCGATGAATAATGTCGCTAAAATCATAATAATATCGGGAGGTATCATTATATGGGGTCTATACCAAAACGTGGACCTACATGGCTCATTTTTAATACCAAAAGACCTGCAGACATTATATACATTTGAGTAAAATTTTATCAAACTACTTCATTTCGTTCGGAAGCTAGAATGATTTCCATAGACGGACATCGCTTAATCGACATAGAATTTTATGCCGGTCAAGAATATATATATACTTTGTGGTGTCCAAAAACTATATTTCGAGGTGTTACAAACGGAATGATAAACTTAATATACACTCCATACTATGGTGGAGGATATAAAAACTGAAAGCATCAGCTGACCGAATAATTAGAATTTTTAGAAATATTTTATCGAGGACTAACATTCTAATAAAAGTTGACCTTCTTTTAAGGATCAACAAACTAAAAGACGTGGATTTTTTTTAATATTTTCCCAAGGACCAATAGATCAAAAATACTTTTTCAAGGATCGAAAAGGATTATCAGATTAATATACGTGGATTTTTAAAAATATTTTTTAGGGTCGACAAGAGTTAACAGACCATAAAACGTAAATTTTCAAACATATATTTTTAGAGATCGACAAAAATGAAGAAACCAATAAACGTGAATTTTCAAAAATATTTTTTTCAGGGACAAAAATACGTGGATTTTTATAAAATGTCTATTTTTTCAAGGATTAACGGACCACTAAATTTTTTTCTAATTTGTTTTCAAGAAACAATAAATTTGACTATTTTATTTTATTTTTTTATTCAAGGAACAACAGATTAAAAAAATGGATTTTTATAACCTTAGCCATATGGCTGCAGAAGGTATATATCATTTGATACGGCCAAAATGCCTTAAAAACCTAGGTCTTCTTTATCAACTTCGTTTCAGGACATTTGGAGTCGACCTAAGGGTGTCCGTCCGTCTATTTGGCTATAGAGTATAATAACTCTCAAAAGGAATATCCGATTTGGTTCAATGTGGGTACTTCGAAATATTATTGTCAAACTTAGATCTAATTCGGAGATGCGCAATATCTCTCCATTTCTTTAACAACATTTTCAAGAAAAAATTACCTTCTTCAACAAGAAAAGATTATATAATCCCAACATCGAATAAAAAGACCTTCTGGCACCTCCAACACAAATGGTAAAAATTTTGAATAACAAAATGGTCATAAAAACCAAGACAAGCATCTGATTATTTTAACATTTTACACATCCTAATATTTATACCAACAAAAGATCTGCCGGGAAGATGGGATGTATGGGACTACTCGGACGTTGATATTTAGGAATTTGAATAAAAAGGCAGCTCTTATCAATATCAATATTGCCTTTTAAGACCTTTTTTTTTTGTAGGCTAAAATTTGTCCTTTAAGCCTCTGATTATTTATTTTAATATTTTATGCAAAACAATTTCTGTACATAATTAACTTACCTGGCTGTCTTAAATGTGAATGTGGATCCAAGGATGATTTGCCAACACTGACTCCAACGCTGCTGAGGGCATTTGAACTGTATCCTGTAAAAACAAAAAATAAAACATTGTATGAGAAAAAAGTCCAAACTTTGACAAGCTGAAGGCCAGGGAGTCTCCATAGATGAGCTGAAGGCCAGGGAGTCTCTATAGACGAGCTGAAGGCCCAGGGAGTTTCTATAGACGAGGTGAAGTCCCAGGGAGTATCTATAGACGAGCTGAAGGCCCAGGGAGTCTCTATAGATGAGCTGAAGGCCCAGGGAGTATCTAAAGACGAGCTGAAGGCCCAGGGAGTCTCTATAGACGAGCTGAAGGTTCAGGGAGTCTCTATAGACGAGCTGTGAAGGCCAGGGAGTCTCTATAGACGAACTGAAGGCCCAGGGAGTCTCTATAGACGAGCTGAAGGCCCAGGAAGTCTCTATAAACGAGCTGTGAGGGCCAGTGAGTCTCTATAGACGAGCTGGTGGGCCAGATAATCTCTATAGACGAGCTGGTGGGCCAGAGAGTCTCTATAGACGAGCTGTGAAGGCCAGGGAGTCTCTATAGACGAGCTGTGAAGGCCAGGGAGTCTCTATAGACGAGCTGTGAAGGCCAGGGAGTCTCTATAGACGAGTCTTTATAGTTCAACATTCTCCTTTTTCCAATACCACCAAATATCTTCTTCTTCTGCTTGAATAAAATTGCCAAATTCCTTCTCTCTCCACCCCTCCACCCCACCCTCCTTTATTCGCCCTCATCATCACAATAACCTATCCTTGGGCAATTATGTTTATGATATGTGCAGTATATCAAGTCCTTTACACTAACATGATTTGTTTCACCAAAGTGTGTCCTTTGACACTCGCCTTTTGTCGCCTCAAAAAGAGAACAACAAAAAACTTTTCAAATTTAAAAATTTCTGCTTCGATGCGTTTTCAAGACTTCGGGGCAAAAATAACAATGGGGGCAAAAACACAACAATAGATGTTCACAGAAAAAAAATGAAAACCCCGAAAACCAAAATTCATATATGAGAAGTTTTGGAAGAAACCAGAGATAGAGAATGGGAGAGAACAAATTTTCGCCTCGCACAAGAGATAGTCCTTCTTTTGGGAAAAGATAACACAAGCATCGCCTTCTCATTGTTCATGTTTTACACGCTCAGTTGAGTTTTGCTTTTGTGTTGTTGGCATTGCTGTTTTCAAAGTGAATTTTCAAAAGAGTTTCAATTCTGTGTTTTTTTTTTTTTTTTTTTTTTTTGAAATGAGAACACAATTGCCGTTCATGGTGATGATGATGACGATGAAAATTTTATCACATCTTCAGGCTTTATCTTGTTTAGTCTTCTTGTAGAGCTTGTTTGTTGGCAGAGGATTGTGTGATGTGTTGCTATTTAACAGCTTTTATTGTTGGTTGGTTGGTTGTCACAAAAGAAGTGATAGCAAGGCAAAGCAAATACCTCCCACACCACACCTCTCTCTCTCACTGCTCGATAACAAACAACACCACCAAACAAAATCCAAACTCAATTCAACTGATTTCACACCATGAAGCCCTCAGGCTGTAATTTGTATTCTAGCACCATTTCTACTTCGCCGCAATGTGCGAATGTGCTTTTTCGGTCCACAGCCAAGGAGGTGGAGGGATGGCTCTTCTCTTGGCTGTGTGTCGTACGCCTGTGTTTTCAGACTCGAGGGCATAATTTTAAAATTGAATAAATAGCCATGGGCATTGTTTTGATTTCTTTGTAATCACAATTCATTAAAAATTCGAAAACAAGGAGGACTCTCGATAAAAGTATGCCCAGCAGTGAAGTAGTTATTCATACATGAGAAGACCCATAGCTCTTCAATGAGAATACTATGAGAAGAGTTAATTTTCTTCTATGAGAAAAGCTATTTATCTTCTGTGAAAAGAGTTGTTTCTCTTCTGAGAAAAGAACTGTTTCTCTTCTAATGGAAGAGGTTTTTCCTTTTTCATAGAAACAGCTCTTGTCTCTTCTATGAGAAGAGATATTTCTCTTCTATGAGAAGAGACATAGAAAAGAGCTATTTCTCTTCTATGAGAATATATATACAGCTCTTCTATTCGAAAAGCCATAGCTCTTCCATGAGAAGAGCTATTTCACTTCTTTTTCCTATGACTGCTCATTATATTGTTTACAAGTGTACAAAAGCATTTTGGTGAGAATTTTCCAGACAAAAAGTTCTTCGTGATGGAATTCAAGCGTGATAGTGTGATTTCTTTATATTTGGCTGGAAAACCACAAGTGGCTATGCCTAGAGCACTCCAGCATTTAAATGTGAATAAATCTTTTGTGTCTCGTACCATCGCTCTTTACCGTGACACTGGTAGCGTAGCTCGACGTCAAGAAAGTAGACGGAAGAAAACAGCAACATCAGCAGAAATGGTTCGAAAAGTAAAGAAGCGACTTGATCGAAACCCGCGTCGCAGTGGCCGAAAGATGGCTCGAGAGCTGAACATATCGCAATATTCCATTCGGCAAATATTGAAAAATGAGCTCGGGGTAAAGCCATTAGAATTCAAAAAAGTACATGAACTTATACCGCAACAGAAAGAAAATAGACTCAAAAGAGCTAAAGAGTTGCTTCGCTTGGCCGAAAGTGGTGAACTGCCGAATTTGGTTGTCTTCGATGAGAAAACATTCGTTGTCCAGCAGCTTGTAGACAAACAAAATGATCGTGTTTACTTGCCAAAGAGGTCAGCTGAAAATGTGCACCTTCGGTCGGTTGGCCACCAGAACTCAAGCGCCGGCCATAGTGATGGTGTGGGCCGCCATAACAGCCCATGCTCGCTCTCCACTCGTATTAATCGTCCATGGCCTCAGAATAAATGCCAAATATTATCGCGAAAATATTCTGGAGGGTGTATTATGAGCCTTGGGCACGCACACATTTTGCCCGCATACCTTGGACATTCCAACAGGACTCAGCAGCATCGCACTCAGCATGCGTCACCCAAGAATGGTTACAAAATGAGGTTCGTCGCTTCATTTCCATTACACAATGGCCACCAAAATCTGTGGATACCAATCCGTTGGACTATTGTGTCTGGAGTATTTTGGAAAGCAAGGTTGGAACTGAAAAATACCAAAATGTCGATCACCTCAAGTAAGCGCTTCGCCGGGAATGGGCCAAAATATTGCAGAGAAACATTCGGGCAGTGTGTGACGGTTTTATTGGCCGTTTGAAGGCCATAATTCGTGCCAAAGGTGACCAATTCGAACAAATCTAAACTTATTCTAAAATCTGATGCTATTTCCGACCTTTTTTGCTTTCATTCGAAAAAAAAATTAAAATTATGGCGTTTGACTTTGTTTTTTTATCCCTGTAGACCCTGTACCCCATAGTTCTTCTATGAGAAGAAGACCTATAACTCTTCTATGAGAAGAAGACCTATAACTCTTCTATGAGAAGAAGACCTATAGCTTTTCTATGAGAAGAAGACCTATAGCTCTTCTATGAGAAGAAGATCTATAGCTCTTCTATGAGAAGAAGACCTATAGCTCTTCTATGAGAAGAAGACCTATAGCTCTTCTATGAGAAGAAGACCTATAGCTCTTCTATGAGAAGAAGACCTATAGCTCTTCTATGAGAAGAAGACCTATAGCTCTTCTATGAGAAGAAGACCTATAGCTCTTCTGTGAGAAGAAGACCTATTGCTCTTCTGTGAGAAGAAGACCTATAGCTCTTCTGTGAGAAGAAGACCTATAGCTCTTCTGTGAGAAGAAGACCTATAGCTCTTCTATGGGAAGACATTTAGCTCTTCTATGAGAAGAGACCTATAGCTCTTCTATGAGAAGAAGACATATAGCTCTTCTATGAGAAGAAGACATATAGCTCTTCTATGAGAAGAAGACATATAGCTCTTCTATGAGAAGAAGACCTATAGCTCTTCTGTGAGAAGAAGACCTATAGCTCTTCTATGAGAAGACCTATTGCTCTTCTATGAGAAGAAGACCTATAGCTCTTCTATGAGAAGACCTATAGCTCTTCTATGAGAAGACCTTTAGCTCTTCTGTGAGAAGAAGACCTATAGCTCTTCTATGAGAAGAGCCATAGCTCTTCTATGAGAAGAGCCATATCTCTTCTATGAGAAGAGCCATAGCTCTTCTATGAGAAGAGCCATAGCAATTCTATGAGAAGAGCCAATGCTCTTCTATGAGAACAGCCAATTCTCTTCTATGAGAAGAGCTAAGAGCCATTGCTGCGGCTCTTCTACTGAGAAGAGCTGTTGCAGCTCTTTCGTGAGTAGATTTAGACCATCCAGTGCTTTTTTAACAAGAAAAGAGGCTGCTCTTCCAGGGGAAGAACTCTTTTATGAACTCTTTTATGATCAGAGCTTCTGGATTTCTATGAGAAGACTTTCTTGTCTTCCCGGCTCCTTCCTGAGAACTTCTGCTCTTCTATTTGAAAACCAACTGTTGTTCTCTGAAAAGACCTTGTGGTCTTCTATAGCAATACTATTTTCTCTTCAATAAGAAGACCTTCCATTCTCCTCAGAGCAGATCTATTGCCCTTCTCGGAGAAATTTTGTGGATCTTCTTTGAGAAGATCTTCTGCTTTTTTATGAGAAAAGTTCTTGGTCATCTGTGATAACACCTTTTACTTCTCAACAAGAAGACTTTTTGATCTTCTCTAAAAAGGCCTTCTACACCTCTCTGAGAATTTCTGATCTTTTATTTGAAAACCAAGTATTTTTTCTTTGAGGGAACATTTTGGCCTTAAACTCTCCTCTGAGTAGTCCTTTCCTCAAACCTTTGCTCTTCTCTGAGAAGACCTTTAACTCTTTCTGGTAAGGCTTTCTGCTCTTTGCTGAGAAGAACTTCTGTACTCCTCTGATAATCTACCTACTTCGTGCACTTCCTCTGATAACCTACTGAACTCTTAAGACCTACTATAGTTCTAATAAATTCTCACAAGTGGCAATTTTCTGGTCTTCGTTTCTTTTGGGAAACATTCTGGCTTTCTACGGGATGTCCTTTTAGTTTTTATCAATACACCACTCTGCGTTCTTTAGGATGCAATTTTGGTCTTTAAACGGAACATCTTCTGGAATTTTTATAACAGCTTCTCATTGGTAATGTGGCTCATATTTCCATACAATCTAGATTTTTGGAATATATATTCTCCCCTCGTTCTCAGACAACAATTTCCTCCGCCTTCACCCCTTTGTAATGAAAATCAATTACCTCGAACTGTTGATCATAACTCATTAGGCAAACAATATGAACAACAATATAACAACAACAACAACAATAATGATATAAATAATCAATAACAGTAACATAACATATTCATACAAACATTCCTGCCATGCATAATAATGAACCCCCATCCACCCCTCGTCCCCTTCGCATGAGACCATAACTAACATAACCGTCAATTAAGGATATTCTGTCGCGCACCAAAACAACTGTAAACGTGTGTAAATTTGTGTGACAAACGATTTGTATCATCGTTGAAAGCCAAGCGCAAATAAAACATAACTTGTTATTGATTGATTGTCGATTATTGTTGAGTAAATATACGCTTGGGTGAATGCATTAAAAACCCTATCGAACTACAAAAAGCCACTACCAACCACCACCACCTGCAGCAACACCTTTTGACTTTATCACCCCCCACCACGAGAAGACCTCCGTTAAAAAGGTTGCTATCGGCTGATATTAGCACGTACTAATATTTGTTTTTGTGGGAGTTGGAACACCTTAACGGTGCGTGCATGTATGCGAATGTGCCACACATACACCACACCCTATGCCACACAACCTTCTCCACATTTTGTTCATTACCAACCAATGACTCCTGCCAAAAAAAAGCCAATCATACATTTTGACACCTTTCACGACGATTTTTGATTTTTCCATATTTCTTTCTGGTCCCTTGAATTTTCTTGCATTTTTTAGTGGCGATGTTGTTGTACTATGCATGTTGTATACGTGTTCGAATGTGTGTATGATTTGTTTGTCTCCCGGAAATGAAGACATTTTTGTGGGAGCGCTGTTTCTTTTTCTGCTTCGTTGTGTGCATAGGAAAATTGGGTGTGTTAATTTTTTTTCTGAGGAATCATGGGATTGAAATTTGTTTCGCCGAGAGTTTTAGCGTTGAAGAAATTGACTTTTAAGTAATTGGAAAGTGTTGTTTTTTTGGAACTTACCTTGTGACTGTGTTGAACCGTGGGATCCCCACGAGGATTTGTACGAAGAGTCTGCAATGAAAGAGAAAAAGTTGGATTATTAGTAACAATTTAAAAAATGGATATGAAATTCGCGCTGCATATTTTATGAGGTGTATTTTGGGAGAATAAACATCAAAACATGAATTTTTGGAACAATTTTAAACAAATAGAAAGACAAACTGATATGATAAAATGAATACTTCTTAAATTGTTGGGTTCGATCAAGTTCTCTGTGTTTTTATGAAATCTAAATTTTATTATTCTAACGAGAGGTAATGAAGGAATTTTTAACCATATTCAGCCTCAGCTCCACGACCAAAAAAAGTAACAGAAGTGACTCGCCGTCTTTCCCTTTCTCATAAAATTTTCTAATTATGGGCCCTCGATTTCTAAAGTGATAGTTTGGTTTGTAAACCATTTAAAATTTCGATTATCTTTCTAAGAAAAAGTTATAGCTCTTATTATAAAATATTTATATAAGCATATAAATACAATAAAATTCCACCTTCAATAAAATACCAATAATAGTTTTTTTTTCATTTTTTTCTCTGGCTGTGATCTACAGATACAAAAGCGTAAAAAATTAAAACAAATTGCCAACAACGATAATATAACCACTTCGGATCAAATAATACATCCCCCCTGTCCCAATAATGCTGAAGGCATTAAATATATTTTTATTATTATTATTATTATTATTATTATTATTATTATTATTATTAAATTAGTATTATTATTATTATTATTATTATTATTATTATTATTATTATTATTATTATTATTATTATTATTATTATTATATTATTATTATTATTATTATTATTATTATTATTATTATTATTATTATTATTATTATTATTATTATTATTATTATTATTATTATTATTATTATTATTATTATTATTATTATTATTATTATTATTATTATTATTATTATTGTTACTAATTTTATTATTGTTATATATTTTTTATTTATTTATTTTTATTTTATTATTATTTTTTTTTAATTTTTTTTATTTTAGAGGATTTTTCCCGCTGTTATTGTCGGACAATTTAGCTTAAGTCGGATTCTAAGTCAAAAAAAATATTTATTATATATGTATATCTATTTTTTATTAGTTTCTGGAATATAAATATATAATTACAACCACTAGGCTTTTACATTTTACCTAAGAGGGTTCCTAGTTTATGCGACTAGGACATTTACAATTACACCCATGGGAAAAGCTCATACATTTCTTGATTACAAATGGAATAAGAATTTGAAATATATGTTCTAAGCTGGAGGAGTTACAAAAAGAGATTGGCGATATTTATGTATAATTCCCACCCATTGAATAAAAATAGACTTTCCGAGACAAATTTGAATTTTAGATTGCCATTTATTAAAATGAGAAAGTTAAAATGCCGACAAACGCATACCCTCAGCCTATGTCGTTTTATTAATGTATGTCCGAATTAGTGGACCAATATAATCCACTTCTCATCTGAACTATTTTTGATTTATACATAACATCGTGCCCAATTTACTTCACTTTATATGAGATATTTGTACAAAATTTTAAGAAATGACCAATTTTTCGGTAATTACTGTTAATCATAATATTTAGCTTTTGTGGGCGAGGTACAAGAAGGAGTGAGCCGATAAATTCTATATTAACAAATCAGATATTTTATTGAGAAGAATATGTAGATATGCCAAGTTAAATAAGAATCGTCGACTTGTTCGTATATTATGACAGATATAAGTATTGCAAATCGTAAACCTTCGCGAGAGAAGTGCGAGAAAGGGTACGTCGATATCTGTAATTTTCACATTGGAACTTGTGTTAATAAAAATATTGAGATATTTGGAATTTGAAGAGAATCGAATGCTTATTTCTCAAATAATATAAGAGATGTAATTATTTAAAAGTTAGACCCTTTGTGGAGGAGGTACCAGAAGGAGTTGACCGACATTTTCCATCTTCACACCTGATCTTTTGTTAGTCTAACTACTGTGATGTGCGAAAATTGAAGAGAATCGAATGTTTATTTCGTATGTTATGATTTTATGACTCCAAATGTCCTCAAACGTATTTGATCCATAGGGACACATGGTATAAAACCGTTATTTCAATTAGGACCTTTTTGGATGTATCAAATTACCTTTTTGGACCTTTTTGGATGTATATATACACTCTTTAGCCATATGGCTGAGGGTATAAAATATTCTTTAAATAGGGTTTGTGAGTATATAACATAGGCATAGAGAATTTGAAGTAAAATACCATTTTAAATAAGTCAGATCTTAAAATTAAGAATTCAAAACTAAATTTTAAAATTATGATTCATGTGTATATATTGTTGTATCTCCGATTTCATACTTTTTCAGCCACTTTTATGTACTAGTGATTTCGTCGAAAACTGGAATTTCCGAATTAAACATTTTGACGCTTGAATGTAAGTTTAAAATGTATCACACCCGCTTAATGATGACCGTCCAAAATGCTAGGTTTCTGCCCTCTGCCCAATTCTAACCCTACAAAAAATTCGATATATTGTTACCTATAGATCTAGAATCTCAGAAAATGTTTTGTAATCACAGCAATATCCTTCCATATTCCTGAGGATAGGGCCATAATTGCGACCTGTGACGTAATAACCATAAACAAATGGACAAACAGGCGGACGGACACACATAGCTAGATGGGTGAGATAAGAAGATAGATACATAACATCGTGGATCTACGACGAATATTTCGAGATGTTACAAATTTTTTCGCCGAAGCAAACCTATAATGTTGAGGGACATTATAGGGAGCTTTGAAGCCTATAAAAATATGTACCAACTTTTTTAACATATAAGTGCATAACATTGAAATATGAAATATTTGAAATATATTTTAGTGTTTTATTATTTTTTTATTAAAAAGACGCGAACAAAAATGTGGATAGCAAGAGAAGACTTCGTGGTTAGAATGACCATTGTCATTCTCTTCGGCCATATTGAATTGACATTGAGTTTTTTTATTTGTATTTTTTTTAAATCAAAAATTTGAAAAACACAGTTGAAATGTGTTTCCCGTTTGAATTTAAATAATTCCAAATATAATTTGAATATTTTTTTAAATTATATTCTTTAGCAGAAAATTTGAAGTAAAATATTTTGATAACGATGGATTTGCAATAAAATATTTTACTAAAAATTGCATAAAAATTTATGAAAATTTGCAATCATAAAAAATGTTCAAAACATAAAGGAATTCACATTTTCGATGGGTCTTGAATTCATAAAAACCGCCCACATATCTTAATCCAAAATACCAACAGAGACCACAGTGTCAAATTTCAGACTTGTATCTCTATCCTTCAGCAAATACCCAAATTAGAAGCAATAGTACTTTTCGAACAGTTATAGTACAATTTTTTAAAAACTTCTCCATATTTCAATTCCAAAAATTCAAATTTGAGGATTCTAGTCCTATCCCTTCTTCAGCCAATATCAAAACTAATACCATTGAGTACTTTTCGTATAATTATATTACACATTTCCGAAACCACCTCCATACGTCCAGGCTAGACATGAACAGCGGTTCTAATTCAACTTTCAGATTTTAAGGACTTTCTGTTCAACCAGTACCAAATTATAACAAATATAGTACTATTTATTAATTTTCGTACACTTGTAGTACATATTTTCAAAACCTACTACCAACAGGGACTCCAAATTTAGTATGCATTTCCAAAAACAACTTCATATATAAGTTTGTTTTTCAAATTTTTAGCTCTATTCGTTCACCTAATAGCAAATTGTACAATTTTTGCAGTTTAGTACCATTTTAGAACTTTTCGTAACCTTGAAGTTTGAATTTCCAAAAAAATCTTTTAGTACATCTATCCCGCACTGCATCGGTGACTCTCATCCAAATTTCAGAACTCTAACTCATTTTATTTGTCCAATACAAAATATTCAATTTTAAGTACATTTCATTACTTTTCGTACCCACACGCCAGCCTTTATATGGGCGCTATTTCAAAACATTGACCGTCATTGAAAATTTTCTACAGGGATTTTGCCTGCCCCAAGATGCCAAAACAACGGCCAAAACAATTGAAAAATATGGCTAAGACTCTGGACGTAGCTGAAATCAGGGGATACCTTCATTATATAGTTATACCAGAACATGTAACCCATAGGCCTGTAAAAACTCTATCCTAAATTTTGCAAAGTAAATTATTTGAGGGTTTTTGTGTATGGTCAAAAGTGTACAGGGTCCACTTGGAATTTTCCACAGCCCAGGCTGGCTCTTGGACAGAGAAATACTCTGTTTGATGGTAGGAGACGAAAAAAATAAGGTTGTATGTATATAGGTACACATTACATTTTTATGTATGTAACAATTGAATATTCAAATTTCTTTTGTTCTGAGACCCCCAATAAAATTTGATGTGGAATAATTCTTCCTTTAACACTTTCTGCAAAAAATGTGGCTTAAAAGGAGATTTTGATTCGGATTGGATATGTGTTAAACTTACTGTAATATAAAGCAGTACATAAATTTCGAATGCAATTTTCTTTAAAAAATATCGAACTTAGATATATGATTTATTACTGGATATATAAGGAATTTTTGTGTAGAATATTTCTTCTTTTGACATTTTTTGCAAAAAACGAAATTTTATGTCACTTTCAGGTGTCAATTCGAAAAAAGGCAGAGGAAAATTTGCTAAAAAAAAAATAATGAAATATTTTCGAGTTTTTCGAAATCTTTAATGCAACTTTTTTTTAATATCTAGTGGAATTAGAGATTCCCTGTATTTGGTGACTTATAGTAAAATTTAATAAAGAATATTTTTGTCTTTGAGATTATCCTTCAAAAATGATGTTTTGTAGGAGATTTTTTCATAAATTCATAGTAATAGGGAAATGTTTACATCACTTTGTTTTATTTTATCAATATTTTATTTAATTTCACACATTTCCCATTCTCGGATCCACAAAATGTTTTTATAAAAAAAAAAGTTGTCCATCTTACCTGCGAATAACATTGAAAAATTGCTAAAGCTTCCGGTCGAACGGGATAAATAATCAGCGGATGGTTTAATATCGAGCATGTTGTGTGGCACAAGAAAGGACTAACGACGGTACGGTTTGGTGGCCGCTTTTGCAAAGCCGCCGACGGAAAAAAAACTCGTCTTGCGATATGCGTTGGTCAAATACTGATACTTGATTTTCAGAATAAGAACACAAACACAAATCAAAGAATACAAAATTGTTTAAATTTATTTTCGAAACTGATTTTATTTAATATTCAAAAATTGAGCACGGCATTGTTGGTGTCAGCTTCACTTGGTTTTTGTTTTGTCGGTGGTCAATGAAATGGCGACAAATTATTGGTAATAATTTTTTTCTATTCTGTTTTTTGATTTAGTTTTAGTTTAGCTGAATTATTTTTTTTTTCCGCTAATATTGTTGTTGTTATGTATTTCACTTTCACGTTTTGTTGTTTTTTTTTTTTTTTTCTCCTTTTTTCTTTTTTTTGTTAAAAAAGGGCTAAACTGTTCCAATGTCTGTTTGCTTCGATTGGCTGTTTGTTGCTGTTCAATGTCAAAAGCGGAACAGGAAAAGGAACGGGAAAAGTAACGATCGGAACCGGTTACCGTTACCGGACACCTCGACTTCCGGACAACTTTGGTAGGCGAAAATAAATATATATATGTGTGTGTGCGAAGCTCTCTGTGCGACTGGATGTGAGAGTTGGATACGCGCTTCTAAATTTCGCTTGGCAAAAATTACTCTATTAGCCTTGGCTAATTTCGGTTTTTTTATTTTTTGGAATATTGTTTTTTTTTCGATTTTTTATAAATTATTTTTTCCTTTGAAGTCCTGGTAGGCTTTGTGGCGGAAAAAAATTACGTCAAAACACTTTTTATTTTGTTGTGAAGTTGCGTTTTTTTTTTTTTTCTTCTTTCGAGGCTCAGTTCAATATTCATGGGCTGTAAACTGCAATGGTTTTGTTGGCTGGTTCGGTTGGTTTGTTCGATGGTTGTGTGACACCGGATTGCGACTGATCTGTGGCACGGTAACGTAACAATTGATTTCATTCCGTCGTCAAATCGCACATATCCTGCCAGCTACCGGCGCGTAGTAGTGATTTCATTTTTGCAACCCCCTCGACATGGTGTGTGTGTGTGTTTGTGTGTGCGGCGCTGTGGCTTGAACACTTTTTTTTTGGGAATTTTTCCCTCCCATACTGAGACAGGGATTTACAAAAGTTTTCAAATTATTTGTCCAAACCTAGCAGGGTATATGTGTATGTGTGTGTGAGTGTGTTTGAATAGACATCAATCTCTGAACTTGTTGTCTCTACAATTCCCTCTACATGGGGGTGGGTGGGCTGTGTTGTTATTGTAAAACAACAACAATAATGTGAGGGGTGAAATAAGCTCGCCCTGTGGTTGGGTGGTGAGTGGGTGGTTGGTTGGTTGTCGGGTTGCTTGCTGGCTGGCTCCTTCACACAAAACTGCGCCTGTGTATGTCTCAGCAGCACTCACACACACAATAGCCTCCATGTCTATGAAACCAACTAAAAGCAAGAGAGTGAGTGAGAGCTGGCTGGCTGGATGGCTGACAGCGCTGCCGGCGCGTGCCACACAATGTGGCACCGGCAGTACTTACATTTATAATCCGCAACCAACACCCGTTTTCCGTTCAAACACCAATCAGGGCTAAGGCAAGGTGTGGCTTGTTGGCTTTACAGAGCCAGAGCCAGAGCCATTGCCAGCCAGCCAGCCATAAGGGAAGCTTGCACAACATTTCAAAATTCATTTTTGTTACCCCCTCCAACCCATCCCCCCCCCCCTCTCCCTGGAAAATGCCAAACAAAAAGGCTGTCATGTCATGTAATTAAAAGCTTTTCTGATTTTCCACACACAGAACGCTTCAGCGAATTCGTTAATATACTTGAAGCCCATACCCCTCCACCCCCCTCTCTCCCACTCCCTCCACCACCCCCCCTCCACAATCTTAAATCATCGTCATAATCAAAAAAATGCAAAAAACAGCACATAGTGGGAGCATTAAAACAAACATTGAAACGCTTAAAGCAAACCAGCAGAACAAAACAAAAAAATTTATTCATACAGCTCAGCGAACATCAGCGGATATTTTTTGTCAAATTGCTACCTCTCTAAGGAAGAGAGGGATTTTACAGTTTACAACACCTACACTACTAGAAAATTTGTTTACATTTTCTTTTGGGCAGGGGGGGGGTCCTAACTGACCCTTCTCGCCGCTGACTTTAAGGAATGGGAAATAAATATCAACAAATTCGTGGTCAAAATGACAATATTCATATATTCATGGCGAACAATTGTGGCTAGTTTGGTGATATTTTTTTGGTGGGAATAAAGTGAAGCTGAAGCGATTTAGGTAAATTTCGAACAATATTTGCATATTTGGAAGTATTTCGTAAATCGATTTTATTTTATACTCTCCACCATACCATGGAGGGTATATAAGTTTGTCATTCCGTTTGTAATACCCCGAAATAGGCAAAGTATATATATATTCTTGATTAGCATAGAATTCTATGTCGATTTAACGATGACCATCCGTCAATATGCCCGCCCGTCTGTAGAAATCACTCTAGTTTCCGAACGAATTGAAGTAGGTTAATAAAATTTTATTCAAATGTGTGTTTCGTCTGCAGGACTTTTGGTATTGAAAATGAGACCACATTTAGTTATGGCCCCCATATAACAGGTACCTCCCCATATTTGGTACTTCGATGATTTTACCGACATTGTTCAGCGGAATCGTTTCAAATTTCGTATTTGAACATGGAAATGTCATATGACAATAAAAATTGTCTATGCAGGTCCAGGTCTCCGAATAGCCCCCATATATGTGTACATCTCTATATTCGGCATTTTGATGATTTTAGTGGCATCGGAATGGTTTCAAATTTCGTATTTGAAGATCCTAATGTGTACTACAGAATATGACAGAAAATTGTCTCTGCAGGTCCAGGTCTCCAAATAGCCTCCATATATGTGTACCCTCTATATTCGGCATTTTGACGATTTTAGAGGCATTGGTATGATTTCAAATGTCGTATTTTAAGTTCCTAATGGGCACTACAGTATATGACAAAAAATTGTCTATGCATGTTCAGATCTTCGTATAGCCCCTAAACATCGGTACCTCCCTATATTCGGCATTTTGATGTTTTTTGCGACATTATTCACCGGAATTGTTTCAAGTTTCGTATTTAAATATTGAAATGACAGGCATTTGAATATTGAAATATAACGGCTACATTCGGTAATTTTAAGATTTTAGCAAAACTTTTACCCTAACACGAACTGTTTAGATTAACTTTCTTCAAAAATATTCAACATAGATATAACCCTCATATTACAGAGCCAACGATTTTAGCGCAGCGAATAAAAACAATTTAGCTCCAAGAAAGAAAAAAACTTAAAAATACGGGTTCTGTTCAAAAAATCAATAGACAATATTTTCTTAAAAAATTCTACATTTTTTGCCTGGAGGTCATTGAAAAATGTTTTAGATTTTTTCCAGGTAGTCCTTAATTTTTTTTATCAGGAAAGCCTTAAAAAGTGAACAATTGTATGAGATTCCATAAATATTTCTTCAATTATAGGAAGGGTAAGGAAGAGAATTATAGGGTAACCGAATGTGCTCTGGAGTTCATTGAAATAAATAGTTTTAAACACCACAATTTTAAACAAATCCTAAAATTTCACAGTTCTTTTTTATCAGAAAATCTTAAAAAATCCAAAAATTTTGAAAAAAAGGTTCTTTAAAGCCGATTTCTTGCCAGGACGTCCCTGAAAAATGTTATTAAAACCACTCGAATGTTTTTTTTTTTTTTTTTTGTCGGGAACGGTTTAAAAACTTAGATGTTTTGGGACTCTTAATATTTTCCGTTAGTTACCGATTTTGACAAATGACCTCTAAGGCCATTTGAAATTAGCTTGCTTTCTTCAAAAAATCCTTAATTTTATGAGAATTCTAATTATATTCTTCAATTTTAGGAATTTTTGAGGGTAACCGCATTTGATTATTTTGCTCTGAAGGCCATTTAAACCATTTCACTATTAAAAAATTTAAAAAAAAAATAATTAAAAAACAACGTTTTTTATTAGAAAATCCTTGAAATTTTTTTCTTAAAAAATCCAGGTTTGTCTAAAAGGAACTCCTTGATTTTTTTTTTTTTTTTGGTAGGAAACATGTCCTTAAAACATCCCAATATTTTTTTTTTTTATTTATTTTCAAGCCCTCATAAAATATCCACCAATTTTAAAAATATTCTTTAATATTAGGAAATTTTAGGTTATACAATTTTGCATTGGAAGTAATTATAAATATTTAAAAAATCCATGAATTTGAAAAAAAATATATAAAAATTGATAATTTTGAATAAAAAAAAATACTTGCAAAAACGGAAGTTGTTAAAAAAAAGTCCAGGATTTTAAGAACATTGTCTTAAAAATCCATGATTTTTGGATTGGAGTTCCAAAAGCTATTTTTCTGAAACTATGATTGATTCTTGTTCAAGAAAAACTTAAAAAATCCAAAATTTTTGTTCCATATTTTTTTCGAGGGTGCTTTTATGTAGCTGGATTTAATCTATGATTTTTGGTTAGGAGTTTTTAAAAAAAAAATCTAACTATTAACTACTTTTGGTTTATAAAAATTGTTTTTGTTTAAAACCTATATTTCTCAACTTTACATAAGAACCAGTATTAGTTGTAAAATGGCAGAAGACGATGTTTAACCTAGGAATAATTCCGCAGTCTCTGAAAATTATGATTATATTTTATACCCTCAGCATTTGATTCGGCCAAAACGTGCCTTACAAAATAAGGATTCTTCAAAAAAAAAGAAAAAAAACTTACTACACAGAAATAGATAGAATAATACAACTTTGCAAATCCTAAAATTTACTGCATTGCTAGGTCAGCCGCGAAAATGGACAATATCGGTCCACTCCATCAAATTTACCTCCCCCACAAAGTGTCAAAATTTTGAATAATTATAATTCTTATAAAAATGAGATGTAAGAGTCCGATTGTCTTCAAATTATACAAATCACAATACTTGTATTAGGCCAAGGTCTCGTGTGAAGATGGAATATATCGGTCAAGTCCTTCCGGAATATATCGGTCTCCTTCCTCCCCCACAAAAGGCTCAACATTGTCAATATCCATGAAGCTTATAAAACGCGAAATTAACATCCGATTCCATTTAGACTTGGTACATCTCAATAACTCTTTCCACACAACGGATCTAAGTTTGAATAAAAACGATTATAAAATCCGAAATAAGCATACGGTTCTCTTCATATTTCACAAATCCCATTACTGATGTGAATGTGGGATATATCGGCCTATTCCTTCTGGTACCTCCCCACAAAAGGGTCAACATTGTCAATATCCATGAAGCTCTTAAAACGCGAAATTAACATCCGATTCCATTTAGACTTGACAAAACTCAATATTTTCATCAACACAAAAGCAGTTATAAAGATGATAAAGATCGGATCATATCTTCTGGTACCTCTCTCAAGATTTTGAAAAACAAAACGCTCAAAGAAAGCGAAATAAGCATCCAACTCACTTTCAAATTGCTAATACAAGCTCTGTTGTGAAGATGATATATATGTGCTAACCTCTTCTGGTACCTCACCCACAAAGGGTCGCAAATTTCATTTTTTTCTCACCTATGTTGAGAAACTTGAGATTAATTTGAAATTTATGATTTTGCATAAAATTCGATATATATGTTCGATTTTCTTGTAATTTTGACCATACCAATATTTTATCTGTATTAGATGTACAGGGCAAGAGAAAAAAACTGCCCCAAATTCAAACGCCATACTTTTATTAATTTTTTTAATTTTATTGAATGAAAGTAAAAATGTCGGAAATAGCTTCAAATTTTAGAATAAGTTTAGATTCGTTTGAATTGGTCACCTTTGGCACGAATTTTGGCCTTAAAACAGCCCGAATGTTGCTCTACGGTAATTTCGCCCATACCCGGCGAAGCGCTTAGTTGAAGAGATCGACACTT